AACGTGTCTCTGCCCATGCTATTTCGAAACAGTCAAGATAGGATTCCATCGAAATGAGACCGCTTTTTTTAACATTCTCTTGAGAAACACCCGAGAATGGATTCTTTTGACTGATGAACGCTTTCATGTGAATTTGAGGTCACTTTTGATTCAAAAATGACAGCTCTGCAGTACGATACCCTGAAACTGGTGCCAAAAATGGTGAAACCTTCAAATAAGTCATACTTTACAACTGGCAGTCCTGATTCCAAAAAATTTTTTTTTTTTTAATAACAGTTTGAGCTACGAAAAATTAGAGCACGCCATTGGATAGAGCTTGTCGAGTTGCGCCAGAATCGATCTTTCAAAAAATTATGTCTGAACTTCTCTTCGAGAACTCTTATAGTGCATCTAAATTCAGGCAATAACGACCAAGAATGCGTTCCAAAAAACATGGAATGTGTTCTTAATGGTTCCATTTTAGAACGCTTTCCACTTTTGTTGGAACGTCTTCTTTTCTTAAAAAAAAGGCTTTTAATTTTACGGAACGCGTTCTTTCCCGTTCTTTGAAGCAAATATTTCCCACTAGGTTTACGGTATCCTCTTGAAAAATCTGAATTTTAATTACTCTTCTATTTAAATTGCCGATAAAACTATTCATATCAACTATAAAAGTTAGACTAAGCGATTCAACATTTGTTTAGATATTGAACAATTCTTTTCGAAACACTCTCGAGAAAAATAAGAAGATTTTGTGATGTCTTTACTTATCGAAATATTGTCATCATATATCTGAATATGTGAAGAGAAGACACTCAACACTTAAACTTGATTTGATATGTTCTTAATGAATTCGATGTGATTAGAAAACATAAAGATGAAACATTTCCAACAGATATGAAAACATGTGAATAGAAAGGAAAAATATTTCTATAAAATGATTCGATAAATCAATTATTTTCAATAGTCGAAAAATTGTTCTGAAAAATTGTTATATCACCATAGATCTTGTCTTAATGAAATATTCGGTTCATCAACATCATTTCAACGAACAATATCAACAATTGCTTTTAGAGATAATGATGAACTATAAAAAAAATCAGATAAAAGAGTTGTTATAAACAATGAATTAACATATGCATGATAAATATATAAAAGAGAAATAATTATATAGGATATGAAACAAAATGATATGTAGAGACGAATACAAAAAGAATGTTTTATTTAGAATTAAATAACCATTTCTGTGCCAATTCATCATTATCCATATTTGGTATAATTGATTGATGAATAAATTCACAAAATGATTTTGAATTAACTGATACAAATTTATTAAATGTTTCTTTGTTAAAAAAAAATTCATCATGTTTTTCTCTACGTGAATTGACAACTCCTATGTGAATACCCACAAATTTACCAGTTGAATCAAGTATTAAAGCACCACTTGATCCTAATAACGTACTACAATCATGCATAGCATATTGATTATCTAGAGATGCTTCTTGTATAAGACGACCAATTGAAATTGATTTATTATTTACATGATGAGAATAATTTAATGTATCAATTGTTAAATTTTCAAAATCTTTTAAATACCTATATGGTTTTAAATCATCATTTTGAGTCAATTTACCATTATAGCCAATCAAAAATAATTCTGAATTAATTGTAATATTTGATTGAGATGATGAATTTAATTTAGGATCAAAATATTCATTTAATTGTATATGTGGTGCTGGTTTATCTAATTCAAGAATAGCAAGATCAGTTGTGTTAGATTTTACTTCATTGTAATCGGACATATTATCTTCAATTAAACCACGACGAATTATTTTAGCTTCAATTAAGAAATTGTTTGAATCATTTGAGAAAAAATATGTTTCAGAAGCTGGATCAAGAAAACACGCATATATTTTAGTATATGATACATTTTTGTTTTCCCATTGAATTGGATCGAAATTATGTGCACATGTTAGAACAAGTCGATTAGTTAATAAAAGTCCATTACCGAAATACATTTGCTTTGTTGATTCATGTTTATATAAAATACCAATACGAAGAACCATTTTACGAACAAATAATAATGATGATCTTAAATTTTCACTTGGAGTTTTTGGTAATTCAATATAATAATTCAAACCATCGCTAGTATATGTATATGTTTCTTGTACTGAATTTTTTTGAGAATTAAAAAATGCACGTTCCGTAGAAATAAATTTTGGAATGTGATTAATTCGATTTAAACGAATTTCTTGTTCTTCAGAACTTACCTAAAATAAAACGAGAAATTGTTGATGATTATTTAAAGAAAAATTTTAATATAAATGGGTACAAAATTTTAAATTATCGAATTTAAAAAAACTGTATATCTTTGTTTCTTCTATCAAATTTGAAAACACTTAATTACAATAAATATTAACCTCAAGGTATGTTGTGTTTCATTAATAAAGATTTTTTTACTCTTTAACTAATTTAAATTTACGTGGAAAAATCAAATAAACTTCTTTTCTTACTGATGCATCTAAATCATCTGAAAATAAATAATAATGTCCTGGGATTTTAACAAATTGATCACGATATTTCCAGTAATTTCCTGTTAAATCATGAAATCTAAATAATGAAAAATAAAATAAATATGATTCTATTCTTATGTTTTTTTAAGTGCCATGCTTACGTTGAATAAAAACTGGACTTAACTACTTCAGTATTCTCATTTGATACATTAACAATTGATTCATCATTTGATCTAGAAAAAACATTGGATGGACTTATATTGATCCTAGATAATATATTATTATTATTATTCTTACTTTCGTAATAATAAAGAATATTTCAATTGTTCATAAATAATAGTTATTTGAATTTCATCAAGAATTGTTTGATAATCATCAGCATACTATAGTGTAAGACACAAATCACCTATTTTGAAATAACTTAAAACTCGAACTATTCTACTTTGATCAATTTACAATCAAATGTTCCATCAATATCACTATATACGTTTTTTTTATTAATATTTTTTGATGATTTTACATCAAGAATATCACTTGGACTGTTCATTTTGAATCAATATCAGCAATAAACTTGATTAATTGAACAAATAAGAATTAAATAAATAAGAATAAATGATGACCAGAATAATTAAACTAATCAATTGATGTCGAGTATTATATAATTTCGATGAAGAAATGAATAGGAAAACGAAGAAATAGGTAACGTAAGTAATATAAATCTAAAATGAAAAAAAAATTTGTTGCTTTTTCTGCATGTTACTGATGTACAATGGAACTGTATCAAATTTTTGTCTTCCTCGTTCAAAAACATTTATTTTAATGTTTCTTATCGAATCGTAGAACATTAGATTGATGAATAAAAGAAAAGAATTATAGATAGGAGCAATAAAGGACGAATAGAAAGTCGCTGGCTATTTTATTATTTAAGATGTTGCTCTTCTATGAATAAATTATTCTTATTGATGATTTATATGTTATGCAAAAATTTTGATCCTCATTCAATAGGATGTCCAGAAAGTCACTAGAGTTAGAAAAAATTTGGATACTGTGGTGATTCTTCAACCAAATGAGCTGAAGTATTTTCTGTAGGTAGAGGACAAATAGCATTTTTTATTCATAAACGAACATTCCATTTATGGGCATGAAACCAGCGGACTTTTCTTCACTATACACCTAGTTAGCTATGATGAGGACTTATTTACTATCCAAAAGTAGCTCTGTTATTGTGATTTTGTGCTAAAACCAGGTCACTTGCTAAGTTTAACCATTGTCTCACTTTTCTTTTTGTTTCGAAATGCGTAGCTGAAACAGAAGTATGTACATGTGTATGTATTCATGTGAGTCAAAGCACGCGTATTTAGAGATAACGAAAAGAAAGGATGAGAGAAAAGAAAACAATGATATAAAAGATGATCCACGAGATAAAACAACGCGTAGTATTACTTATTGCATTTACGATTCTTAAATATGTATGCAACTCGTACTGCGGATGAAAGAATCACGATTGTGGGACTTTTCTCAAAGTTTGAAAATGCAATCGACGTACATTGAATAAAAAAAGGTACCATACGAAACTTAAAAAAGGTTCCGAATTTTGCAACGAAATCGAAACCTTTTTAAAGTTCCGTATAAATATGGTTTCGTACGATACCTATTCTTTCCCCTGTTGCAAATAGGTTTTGTATGGCACCTTCCATCAGGTATCAATGCCTGCCAGGACCAACATCAAGATACTCCTCTGTGCTCCTACACCGAAGCTTTCATTTCGTTTTCCTCGTCAAGTTTTTCTGTATAAAAGAAAATGCTTTCGATAATGCACAGCCTACTTCAAAAAGTCGAAACTACCGACCAGAAACTAACATCTACACCAATTACTAATCAATATACTACGTTAATTTCCTCTTCATTCATAATATACTAAAACATCGTAGTTATAGCATCCTTGTATATACTAACCTAGATGATCGTTCTCAGCAGGACCCTAAACAACAAAAAGTCAATCGACTTTAATACTCATAGACTTCACTCGGATTCCTGTCGTTATGATAAACCTTCATGAGAAAAATTTATTTCATCAAACCGATGATAAACCTACCGAGAATTCTTTTCACCACAATGAACCTAAAACAAAAAAAATCACTATATCTTACTATCAAGAAACTTACCAGCAGCCATTAAGCAATGATGAAACCAAACCAAAAACCAAACCTTTTCTACTGATAATATACTAACCGAAAACGTTCCCAAAACCTATCAACCTCAATAGAAAAAATGAATTCTATTTTATTGATGACAAACTCATCTATAATTGGTATCCAAATCTCTCTGACTCAAAAAAAACGAATTCAATTTATGTAATGACAAAAATACAGAGCATATTTCTCATCGCCATAAATCTAACTGCCAAAACTCAAATCCATTTCATAGCTAATGAATTTCCAAGAATCCGGGTTGTGAAAAACCTAAACGAAAAACATGTCTTTTAGCGATAATAAACTTACCATCAATCATTCTTCCGCCATAAACCTAAACAGAAAAATGCATTTTACCATACAAACCATAAACGTTCTAAGGCTTAACACCCGGATAAATCGAAAGAAAAAATAAATTGTTCTTCAAAAATCAGAGACTCACCATGAATTATTATACTATCATAAACCTAAAGAGAAAAATAAATTTTATACAAATCATAGACTCACCAAGCATTGATATACTGATACACCTTAAGAAAAAAAAACTTCCTTTTCAAAAATCAAAAACTCCCTATGAACCACTATACTAGGATAAACCTGAACAGGGTGTGAGTGTGGGTGGGTGTGGGTGTGGATGTGGGTGGGTGGGTGTGCGTGGTTGTGGATGTGGGTGTGAGGTGTGCGTGTGAGTGTGGGTGTAGGGTGCAAGTGAACAGAGTACGATACCCACGCCCACCCACACCACACCCACATCCACCCACACTCACACCCCACACCCACATCCACCCACACCCCACGCCCACACCCACCCATACACCCACGTCCAGGCACACACTCACCCACATCCCACATCCACACCCATCCACACCCACATCCACACCCCATACTCACACACCACACCCACACCCCATACTCACACCCCACACCCACACCCACCCCCACACCCCCGCACCCCCGCCCACCCCCACCCCCCACCCCCACCCCCCTCCACACCCACATCCACCCCCCATACTCACACACCACACCCACACCCCATACTCACACCCCACACCTACACCCACATCCCCACCCACATCCCGCACCCACACCCATCCACACCCACAGCCTCACCCATTCCCGGATCCCACCCGCACCCCCAGCCCACACTCACACCCACCCACGCCCACGCCCACAACCACACATACACCCTCCACACCCTGTATGTCAGGGTCTGTGATGTGTCCAGATCTGGTCTGTGACACCCCCAGAACCCTGTCTGTCACGGTTTGTAGGAGGGATAGAGGGGAGCGGGTTCACATTTCTACCCCTAAACACTTTAACACTCCTTTTAGATCGTGTTTCACAAAGCTGAACTTTGACCTTTTTCGAAACAATTGGATTTTATTAGAGGGAAGTCGTTAATTCTCCTTTTTATTTGATTGGTACATGATATGGTATCAGCATATATTTGCGCTACATTGATTTATGCGAGAACTTTTATACTTTAGAAGAAATTCAAGTATGCTTCAAGCTTGTATTTATGAGATTTTATTTGTTGTCATAAATTCTTCACATAACCCAATCCCTCCTCTCAGTTGTTTTTTGTCATATATAGGGAGTAGTCTATTCATATGCATCTGCAAGGTTTAGTCTGAGAACAAGGTTTTCATCAGTATCATTATGCTACTATCATTCGTATTCTGCATGTATTTGCTTTCTGTCGTTACTAGTTTCTCGCTCAGCAATGAAACTAAATTCTTGAACTTCACATCGCTTCTACCGAATGTTATTGAAGTAGTAGATCCGTCATCATCCATCGTTGCCGCAGCACCAACAAGTCGTAGCCTTGCCAGCGGTACTGCTAACACTAACATTGTAACACTGTTTAAATACAATGGTAGTCAAATATATGTGTATAGTTCTGTATCGAATGAAGGTGAAACACCGCAGAAATAAATCTTCTACTATGTACCGGTGATGGCACCTCAACGAAGTTCACCGACTGATCCATGGGTTTGGTCAACGAAAAATGAAGTACGTATTAAACTGCTATTAGGTGATGATGCAGTTGATGAAATGGCGCGAGAAGCTATTAGAAAAAAATATGATATGAAAACTGCCGAGTATGCAAAATATTGGGATGTTGCACCCTTAATGATCGACTCACTCACAGCTTATATCGTGCAAGGAAGTAAATCACCGATTGCTGGTGTAGAACCGTTTCATGCAATTCATCCGAATTCGCTCCTCATGATTTTTCGATTCAAATGTTCAACAGAGGAAAATGCTCGGCAGATTGCTGAAATGATTGAAAGCGGTGAATATGAAATTGAAATCGCCTTCTACTTTGCTGGCTTCCGTCAGACATCTACTAGTTTTGTATCAATTACCGGTGATCAACTGAAAGCAGCAGCGAGTAAGACAACAGCTGATGGTGAAAATCCAAACGCTCAGTACATACATCGTGATCAAGCATCTAAATTTATTGGAAAATATACGATGAATATTAGGAAATTAGTCTATTCGGAGAGTCCAGAAGCCAACACACAAGCACTATCAGATGGTCTCGAAGCACAATTTCTGTCATTACTACAACAAGGTAACTTTGCTTGTTAAACAGATTTTTATAAGCTAACCTTATCACATCTATATCCTTTCTGTTTTCAGCTATGCAAGATGCGACTATGGAAAAACTAAAATCTGATGCACTTCAACAAGTTTGGTCACCATCGGATCTGGATCCAGATGTATTAGAAGCTGAAATAACTAAAATGTTTTCGTATTACCAATCAGAAACGGAACGTCATAATGATAGTAAAATGTATTTCAATGGCAATGTGGAAGAAATGAAACAATCAGCTGCAAAAGGAAGTGGTAGTCTCTCAGGTAGTATTGGTAAAGGTTTCTTGAAAATTTTCAGTCTCGGTTTGAGTGGTAGTGGTGAAACAGCAACTACAACTTCGTCAAAAAATCATACAATTACAGATCAAGTTATGCCAGAAACTGATATACAGAAACATCTGTCACAGCATGCAATGGAAACTGAATGGCGAGGGAAAAAGTTGAGACCAAAAGAATTTAAAGTTTACAAATTAAGCGATATCACAGATCATTTACAGATAGCTGTTATTTCAAAGCAGTTGTCAGTGGATAAAGAACAAAACGCCATTGTTCGAATAATTAGTACAATGAATACACCATATTCGATTCCAACTAATCATACGCCTTCACACTTAGTTATCACCGGTGAAGTTAGGCTCTATTCTGGTGCAAGTAAACCTCCCTATCCATGGCTTCTGTGTGACGGTTCGACTGTGTCACGTGCTGAATACCAACGTTTGTTTGCCGTCATTGGTACACAATACGGATCTGGCGATTATGTAACAACGTTCAATTTACCAGATTTTCGTGGACGTGTCCCAATTGGTGTTGATCCATATGAATTACGTGTGAAACAGGTGACTGAAACTGGCATAAGTGGTGGAGCAGCAGTACACGATTTGACCGTTGACCAATTGCCAACTCACCAACACACACCAGGTTCATTAACCATTAGAGCAGCTGGAAGTCATACACATTCAATTAACGACTCAGGTCATAACCATGGAGGCTCTACAAGTAATGAGAAAATGGGAGCTGGTGGTTGGGGTATGAAAACAAGTAAAGGTTACGGGAGTGATCAAGTATCGCACGCACATACTATACCTATCGGGAGAACATATATCAGTATTAACGCTGCAGGTGATCACAGTCACTCAGTTAGTGGTAATACTGGCTCAGTTGGTGGCGGCAGCGGTTTCAGTTTGTTGCAACCATATCAATCTATTAATTACATTATTTATGCTGAATGAGACGAACTAATCATAGTGACTGTTTGCGCTACTTCATTTTCAATAATATATGCGCGTTTTTTCATTTGTGTTGAAGCAAAATGCGGCTATGAAACATCAAACTGATGTCGTATTTCTTTTAAAATGCCAGCCGCCATTTTTTGAATAAATCTTCAACATTAATACTTGTCGAATTCGGGTCTTAGTCATTCAATAAAGCGATGTGAGAAGCGTCTGGCTTTATGCGAGCCATTGCGATTAAAAAAGTTTTGGGGTAAGGGGTGTGGGTGTGGGTGTGGGTATCGTATCCTGTTCACTTGCACCCGACACCCACACCCACTCCCATACCCACACCCACATCCCGCACCCACCCATATGTAGCACAGGCTAATAGTGCCATTTAAAAAAAAACAAAAAAGGTTTTGTTTGAAATGCATAAATAAAACAGATCGTTTTCTTGACCGTCGATTATCTTTGGAAAACAAGTATAATTTGTTAGAGATTTTTCTTTTAACGAGTTTTATATTAGTATAATAAGGCTAAAGAATAATTAGTTCAAAGTAATTTATTCTTCAATAATATATAGATTCATCTCAACAATGTCGATTTATTGAAGTTTTTCTTCATCAAACAATATTTTATTTATCTTCATTGGATGATATTCATCAATAACTATCAATAAATTTACAAGGGGGAAACAGCGGACTTGAAGTACAAAAGTACCTGAAAATACAAAAGTAACTTCAAGTTGCTTCAAGTAGCTCAAAGTACATTAAAAATATCGCAAAGTAACTTCAGGTACCTTTAAAATACAATCAAGTACCTTCAAGTACCTCCAAAGTCTCTTAAAGTAGTTTCAAGTACCGATAAGTATATCAGAGTAGACGAATAGTTTTTCAAAAGCTAAAAGTTTATCAAATGAAAACCGATTAAGATGAAGAAATACGAAAAAGTTGTTTTATTTATTTGTTAAGCATAGAAAAAGTATCAATAAAAGAACACAAAAAGGATGTGGGTGTGGGGTGTGAATGTGTGGGTGTAGGTGTTGATAGTAGAAAAGACACTCACATTCACATCCACACCCACGGCCACTCCCCACATCCCACACCAGAACAACCACACCCACACCCTCATCATCGTCCTCATCTTTCTGAATATTTGATCGATAAATGGTATCTAATTCAGCTAAATAATCAAATAAATGAATTTTATTTTCTATGATAGAGAACTAAATGATTTATCAGGTAGAACACGTTGAATAGCATAAAGACATGAATTTTCAAGAAATTTAGCCATTTATTTTTGTAAGTAAATGTTGTAATTCAAATGTATGTCTATTTTACCGTGTACTGTCAAATTGAAGTATAAGATCAGAAACATTACGTAAAACTACTACTGAGGATATAATACATTATGTTGTTTTAGAATTTTTAAATATTATTTCAAACTGTTGACCACAACGAATACGAGTAAAATCATTATTTGCTTGAAATGTTGGTTCATAAAGAAATAATATTTGCATGCTATGTGTACACATTACGTTTATTATATAAGGCTTATTTTTATTTCAAGCAATGTAATAGGTTAATTAAAGTAAAGATTAAATTTCTTCAGTTAGTTATGTTACTCATTGAAAAATTCACAAAAAAAACTTATCAGAGAAGTTTTACTTCATTAGATAGATTCTATTGAGATTAAAGAAAGTGTCAACAAGGATTCTTCGTGTTTAAGAATTCTTTTTATAAAATGTCGTATTTCGTTTGCAGATTATTTTTAAAATCAGTTTTCGTATTCAAATATCACACACACATAATATGAAAAAGTAAACTTTGTTCATATATTTATGTGTCTAAATAGGAAATGTTAGAAAAGTTGACATTTTCAAAATGAATGGGTCCTATTCAAACTTCTTATGTGAAAGTCGTATGCTTGTCAAACCGAACCGAACAGAATTCAAACTTGTAATAGGCTAACAAATGCATTAGAGTTAAAGATGTAGTGAGTTTGACCCTCTTGATCTCGATATATCCCTACATGTCGTTTATTTCTGAAGTTAAATCATAAAGTATAGGAAAATTTTAAGTATTGAATTAATATGAAGTTATTCACTTTTTCAGGATTTATCTAAATAATCTTCTATCTTCATCTTATTAAATTTTTTTAAATAAGTTCATCAAAAGTTGCAAGCAATTATGTTTTTTTTTTGTAGTTTACAATAAGTAATGTACCAAATTGAATATATTTTCATCGTTTCTATTACAGATAACCCTGAACTGATGGATCGTTTTCATGATGAACAAACACCATTTGTATTTATTGATGGCATTGAAAAATTATCGTATAAAATTGCATATATTAATCTAACTGAATCGAGTAAAAAAGCATTATTTATGACTAAAGCTGAAATATCAGGAATAATGCGATTGAGAAAGGTTTATGGTTCATAACAACCATTGAAAGGTATTCATCTTGTTGCATGTTTATATTTAATAGCACAAACTGGAATAATGATCAAAAAATTTCTTTTATTATAAGTGCACAAGAAAATTATTTTCTTTTCAAAGTCTTAAGATATAATTATTCTCTTATATGTTCAATAGAGTTCTTGTAATCCATTATCAACACAAGATCATATAGCAGCTGCATAGTTAAAACTCGTGTAGCGATTTATACATGGAAAGGTGAAACTGAAGAAGCCAAACTATGATGTATAGATCAGATAAACAGTGACAATGTTTTTTTTTTGAATTTCCGTACGAATTCAGGAGTTTAAGCTTAATTATAAAAAAAAGTATAGAATGTATACTTTTCTGGTCAATTTACTTGTAGTGACTTATATATAAATATTTATTTATTTTCTAAAATAGAAGTTGAAAATTGAAAAAAGTGGATGATGGTTGTAATTTAGCACGAATTATACATGAAAAATATTCACATTAGGCAAGTATGATATAAAAAATTATGTAAATTATTTTACAATAAAAATTAAAAGTTCCAGTCATTAGTGTTCATGATAGTGTAACAAAATTAGAATTTGATAATAATTATGGATATAGTCAAAGTCGGATTGATGGTATCGAACGGGCTAGGATGTCATGATCGAAAGAAAAATAGCAATAGTTATTGAATATGGCGTAATGTTGGAAACGGATGTGCAAAAACACACACTACTTAGTTATGATACACTAGTTATTGTTACTGAGATCGATACAATATGATCATTTTAATCCGTTATGGATGGTAAATACTATTTATCTATTGACTATTGATCGGTTTAATAGCCAGTTTAAAAGAATTTTGTAATTAAAACAACCGTGTGTTTTCAATTTTCCTTCAAAAAGAAAAAGAAAGAATAACAATTTCAATTATTTGATTATAGAGTACAAAGTTTTCTTTTTTTATATTATAGTTGAATTTGATTTTGATATTTATTTAACATTTCAATTAATGTTAGTTCTATCATCACTATCTACTAGCGACGCTCTGCGTTTGACAATCGTGTTCGTACATTTTATCACATTAGGTGAATTATGGATAGTAAACCTACTCTGTTATAGATGAAAATTATTTATCAAATTTTTTCTTTATGCAAACTTTACTTGCATTTGTCTATTAAAAATTCAATTTCTAGATTTATTGCTAAAACATGGATGAAAATGATGATCAATATCGTTGGGAATCTGGTTATGAAAAAACTTGGTAAATAAGATAGTAGAAAAAAAAATTGTTGAATAAAAGTTATTAATTCAATTGTCTATCTCTTCTTTCAGGGAAGTTATTCAAGAAGATGAAAGTGGTTCAATCACAGCTACTATTAATGCTATTAATCAAAAAAATCGACGTAAAGAATTGGCACAATTACCTAATGTTCGCCTTGGCATGGTTCGAAAATTCTTTATTTCGAAAAATCTAAGATTTTATTTGATTGTTTTCTTTTTTGCTCTAGATGCGTCATCTCTATTTGGTTCTTGATATGTCAGATGCAATGAAGGATCAAGATCTGCGACCAAACCGACTATTTTGTTCTATTGAAGTTGATTAAAAAAAACCTTTTTTCCGTGTTTCTTTATTTTAATTTTTGTTTTTGTTTTTAGCTTCTAAAAGAATTTATATTTCTTTATTTTGATTCGAATCCAATATCTCAAATTGGTATAATAATAACACGAAAGAAACGTACAGAAAAAATAAGTGAATTAGCTGGTAATCCACGTTCACATGTTGCATTACTTGAACAATTAAAATATCAAGAATGTGAAGGTGAAGCATCAATACAAAATGCACTTGAAATGGGATTACAAACGTTAAAGTAACTATTAAAAAATACCATGATAATATTTTTAATCAGTTATTTTTCTTCGTAGACATATGCCAAAATATTCTAGTCGCGAAATGCTTTTTGTACTTGGCTGTTTAACAACATGTGATCCTGGAAATATTTTACAAACAATTAAAGTATAACTATTTTTTTTTTCGTTTTTTTATTAATTGATTTATTTATTTGTCTATTTAGACTTGTAAAGAAAATGAAATTCGTTGTTCAGTGATTAGTCTTTCAGCTGAAGTTCGAATTTTTCGAAAATTATGCGTTGATACTAAAGGTAAGCATGCACTTGATGCAAGCATGTTAGCATAATAGACGCTAGTTTGTAAAAGTTATCATAGAGATGAAAAATACCTTAGCAGCATCCTTGCTGTTTCATATTTGAATCCCATCGAGATGGTGTTAAGATCTTTTTCATTTAGGTTTATATCATGTTATTATGGATTCAAGTCATTTTCAAGAATTATTACAAATTCATTCTCGACCATTACCAGCTTTAGATAAATTTGAATCATCACTTGTACGTATGGGTTTTCCAAAATATCGAACATATACAACATCAAATGCAAATATATCATCAACAACAACAAGTAGTACAAAACATGAAAAAGCTTCAATGTGTATGTGTCATTTGGAACAACGTGGTGGAACAAATGGTTTTTCTATAGGTGGTTATTTTTGTCCAACATGTGAGAGTAAATATTGTGAATTACCAACAGAATGCAGTATATGTCATTTAACGCTTGTATCAGCACCACATTTAGCACGTTCATATCATTTTTTATTTCCTATTGAACAATTTATTGAAATCACACTTGATCAATCAACAAATAACAAATGTTTTGCATGTCAACATATATTTGATGAACAAAAACATAAAAATATATATCAATGTACAAGTTGTAAAAATATTTTTTGTTTCGAATGTGATCTTTTTATACATGGAACTATATTTACATGTCCCGGTTGTATACGTTATGGACAATTAAAATAAAATATACGCTATATATATATATGAAATAGAAAATTTTTTTTCTAGATGTTTTCTAGATCATTATTTATTTTATCTAGAGGAATTTTATTACAAAGAACAATGTCGGTTGAATCACCATATAAATCAAATATTATGGACAAACAAGTAGCTCTTGTAACAGGTGGTTCAAGTGGAATCGGATTCGAAATTTGTCGACAATTAGGGAAACATGGTTGTAGTGTTGTTATGATGGGACGACGAGCAGAGGTGCTTACATTAGCCGAAAAAACGTTAACTGACGAAGGAATTCGAGCATTTGGTGTTCAAGGTGATGTTCGAAAACCGGAGGATGGTGTACGAGCTGTAAAATCGGCTGTTGAAAAATTTGGTGAATTAAATTGTTTAATTAATGGAGCAGCTGGAAAGTGAGCTGATTTGAAGAAAGAAAAAGATTTATTTTGAAAAAAAAATGATTTTCTCATTAGTTTTCTATGTGCAGCAGAAAATCTTTCACCAAATGGTTTTAAAACTGTTCTTGATATTGATACACAAGGCACGTTCAATATGTGTCGTGCAGCATTTCCAGAAGTAGATTATTCTTTATCGATAAAAGTCTTTGTTTTTTCATTCTTCTATTCGCTTTTTATAGCTTCGTAAAAGCTCAAATGCTAATATTATAAATATAAGTGCAACACTTCATTACGGTGCTACATGGTATCAATCACATGTTTGTGCAGCAAAGGCAGCCATTGATGCTCTTACTCGATCATTAGCTCTTGAATGGGGTGAATATGGTATTCGTGTTAATGGTATTGCACCAGGTCCTATTGCAGATACAGCTGGTTTTTCGAAATTAGGTGGATCTTTAATGGATGCAGATAGTTCTAATAATCCATTGCTTGAATCCGTACCTTTAAAACGACTAGGAACTAAATGGGATGTTGCTATGTCAGTACTTTATCTTTGTTCATCAGCTGGACAAAATATAACAGGTAGTATATTAGTTAATGATGGTGCCCATTGGCTTCATAAACCACCAATACTTGATCGTGAAACTGTTGAAAGTTTTTCACGTTCAGTAGAAAAGAAAAGTCGCCAAGAAGGTATTGCAACAAAATCGAAATTATAATTTATTTATGTTTAAATTGGCTTTTGTTTTTATTCTTTTTAATAAGCAAAGAAAAAAAAAATAATAAAGAGAAATACAACGTTTAACATACAATCACCAGATATAGTTCGAATGAACAAAAAAGAAAAAAAGAAAGAGAAAAAACGGAATGAAGAAAAAAAACACAAGATCTCTATGAATAAATGACGACTAGTTAAACAACACAAACAAGAGACACGAAAAAAGCAGAAGAAGAAAATGCTTGTCGTCTTATTGTTGAAAAAAAAATTCAGAAAATTTTAAAGATCGGGTACAGAAGAATGAAAATATGGTTGAGAATCTTTGACAAGTAAGGTATAACATACATCACATACACGAGAGGGGCGATTATGTGGACCAGTATGAACGGTTTTATTAGTACAATCTTTACATAGGACTTTACCTATTAAAAAAGAAGATATTATAATTAAATTATTTAATTTTAACTTACCACAGTGACCTAAAGAAAAAACAAACGAAGTTCTTAGTTTTTTTCTTCCAACAGAACAAAATACAAACACTTACGACAATGATGTTTACGCCAAGTGACAGAAAATGGTGAATGACAACGTTGACATTCTGCATGATCTTCTTCAGGTTGCCAACGTAATTCATTTTCTGAATTTCGAATTTCTTCTAATTGTACCTATTGCACAAGAAGAAGAAAAAACCAATAAACAAATGATATAACTTTGATAATAAAATATTCAATAGAAAAGAAAAGGTAACTTATCGTTAACTTACTAACATACTTGAAGCGATTGAGAAAGTTTAACAAAATCATGTTGAACTAATTCATTATTTTCTAAATCAACTTTTAATTTTTGAATTTGTGCACGTAATGCAGCATTTTCATCATCAACTTGAGCCTAATAAAGAAAAACAAGATGATTAATTCTATCTGCAATTCTAACTTTATAAACAAATAGTGCTTATTTATATCTGTACCTTTGCTTTAGCAATTTGTTCAAGTTTTTCTTTAAGTTGATTTGTAAATGAATTCGCTACAGTTTTTGTTGTTTTTAATTCATTAACACGTTCATCTAATTGTTTTTCAAGATTATTTTTTAAACTCATAACACGTTCATATTCCGTTTGAAGACTTTGTAAAACAACTATTGAATGAAAAAAAATTTTTTAAGAAAAAAAAAATAAAAATTCTTTTTTTTTTTTTGGTTTTTTACTTATTTCATCTTTTGCTGTATTC